TGTCAAATAACATCTTGGAAAAATTGTGAGGGAAAAAACCCCAGCACATCATACTGCACCAGTCTGTGGTTTGTATGTGGGCACATTCATAACACAAATGAAATTCAATTTCCCCAAGAGTGCAGCTCCCAAACGAGTCCCACTCTTATGATGGCTTCACAAACCCTTCACCAACAAAGCCAGGACAGGAAAACAGCCACGTGCTACTGCCTCTTGCCCCCTCTGCCCAGGTAAGTTATTGGGTTTCAGACCAATATTCAATATTCAAGCCCAGAGTTTTGGTGCAAACGTCCATTGCCAAGAGCCAAACAGCAACAAATCAAACCCAAATCTGTAGGACTAAAGTGGTTCTGATACCCGAGTAAACAGGTTTTTTCTAAGCAGGAAGAAGGGGAGTGTTTGGGTGACCACCTAACCTTTTGACTAACATATAATGATTTCATTTCTAAAAACAGCAACTCTGAGTGAGTGCAGAGATGAGGTGTTTTATTACCCACATGTGCCTGCTTTAGATAAAGGTTTTACATTTCCATTTTGGAAAGGATTTTGAAAACAATTTTTGTTTAAAATATGGGTAAAGGAATAAAAATGGGTCATGATCGATTCAACACAAGAGATGATTATTGCCATGAGCTACAACCTGAAGCATTTCAACATACACACACCACTAGATAAATATGACACTGGTGCAGCACCGTATGCTGTCTTCTAAGCTAGCCTGCCTTTCATCATACAGATGCCTTTGTATGATCTCTGGGGCTGTATGAGACTTGCAGTCAAATGCAGAGCCTTCATAAAGGTATGATCAATCATCTCTGCCAACCTGACAGTACAGGCTCTGATTTATCCTGCCTCTGAACTCATATATTTATTATAAAATCAAAGGTAGCTAGGGTTTAGCATCAGTACAAAGTACTGGAGTTTTGTTCAATAGTGAGCTGTTGCATGTGGAACAAGCATCAAATCCCCTGGCATTTAATGATTTATTTTAAATATATCGGGCACATGAATTAGCAAACAGAGATGTGAAATACTAACAGCAGCCAAAAGTAATTTATGAATATTGAATTGCACTGTGCAGTATGTCAAGTGAAAACAGAGAGAATTCCCTTAAAAGCTTCTTTGCTTGCCCCAGCTTTCAAGCAGAACACTTGAGGGAACTGTCCTGAATGCTCAAAAAGAAAAGAAAAAAAAGAATATTGAAAAAGAAAAAAACTCAGGAAATCTGAAATGTCCCCCTAGAAATGGATAACAGATATTTTTAAATGAAGCCACTGGTAATTGAAAATATGTAGGTAATTAAGTATACACAGATGTCTAATCATAAAATTCATTGTTGTGCATATAGTGTCCAAATCTCTCAGTATCCCCCCAGAGTTTCCATAACCTCAAGCAGGGCATGTCACGTGCCCAAATTTTCTACCACCAGGTTGGCTGTGTCAAGATCTCTCATCGGGCATTGGAGTGCAAGGATTCTCTTAAAATGCTACAGCATATCCTGGATACCCAAGAGGAGCTGAGTATTTGCCGTGATAAGCTTTAAGATCCTCCAGCCCCAATCTGCAAACAAAACTGTATGAGCTGGTAAGGGAGGAGCTGCTTGGAACCGCTTTAGAGCTTTATGTGACCCTAACTTGTGATTGTGCTACTTTTTTAAAGTACTGCTACAGCCTGGAAAACTGGTTTTCTGTGTGTGAAGGACTGGAGAAAATGATTACTGGCTCAAAACAACTAAAGTCTGTGGTGGGGGGAGAGAGGATCAGGGGGGACAGGAGAGAGAGAGAGGGGGACAGAGAGAGAGAGAGAGAAAAGGGACAGAGAAAGATTAATAATCACCACTTGAATTCCAACGCTATCTCATTAGATACATGGGCTGAGACCACATGTATACCTCTGCAATTGCATTTATCTGCTCTGGTCTTGGTCTTGCAGGGCCTTCCTGACAGGTGGGGCTTTTGGTGTGCCAGGGGCTAATAGCCCTTCTGGGGCTGGATTAGAGGCTCCAGGGCCGAGGGCTGTGGAGTGTCATCCCACCTACACTGAACTTGACCTACGCCCCTACACACACACACACACACTGTTTTGAGCCAGCAATCATTTTCTCCAAGTCTCTCAGATTATGACATGAGAGTTTTCAGATGAAAAATATGAGGCCTAAAAAACTCTCAAGCCGATGGGCAAGAGGAGCACCCAGCTTAAAATTAAACACAGATGCCTCAAAAAGCTGGCTTGCGAAGGAGGCACTGAAAGGCAATGCTTTCAGTGAAAATTTATTTGTAGTCTTCAGTCAGGTGAATGTAGGAGAAAGCACTGAGGAAATGGAAAGAACAATCATCTGCCCAGGAGGTCATGTTTATACCTCTAAGATTTTCTTCATTTTCTCCCAGAAATTTTGCCAAGTTTGGCAGAATGCACACATCTATACAGTCTAAAACCTCTCAGGCTTTGCACACATTGTGACCTGGGCTGCATCACAAGCCCTCCTGAAAGCCTCAAATCACTTTAAGCCAGAAATCCTGCCTTGACGCTTTTAAACAGCTTGATATGTAGGTACCATGAAAGTTCAGCTTCTCAGGAAGATTTAACCATCTTTACCAGTCTGACTGCTATGCTGTGCTATGCATATTCATTGATTAGTATCCTTAGAAATCAGCTGGAAGTCATAATTAAGACAAGTCAGCATTACTAGCAGCTAATTGTACATGTACTTTAGATCCAATTACTCTGTAATGACTGAGTGGCAAAGAGATATTGGCAGCTGAAACTGCATCGAATGGCTTTCTTCCAGGCAGAGCCAAAGGCACAGGGTAAATTTAGAAAAAGATCCCGTAACATTTAACTTCTCATAATTAACAGAGAGGGGAGGGGATAAAATAAATCAAACACACACAAAAAAATTACATAAAAGAAAAAATCCACCAAAATTCCTAGGTAACAGTTTTACGTAACATTGTAAGTATGAGAGGTGATTGCAAAAGCCAGCTACTTTTTAAAACCCAGGACTCCAGCTTTCCCTGGACAACCTCTGGGCTCAGCAAGGCACCCGTCTGGAGCTACAGTCACTTGTTAACATACAGCTCTTGGTGCTGAGGTGCACCACAAAGGAAGGGATGGCCTTTCCTTTTCAAAGATGTAGGTGAGTTCCTGGGATCCAAAAAAGGCCTGTAGAAAAAGCTTAGCATCAGGAGAGTTCTGTAGCTTGCCTTGGGAAGAGAGAACGAGCTACAGAAGCATAAAACTGACTGCAGCTACAGCACTTTTATAACCATGTTGGATCATCATCAATATGGTATTTAGAAAATATCAAAGCTTTGGTTTAGATCACAACACCGTAGACATTCTTGTTACAGGGAATGTAAAAGAGGATCCAAACTCTCTCTTGATAAAGTCAAGGCTTTGTTGGAAAAGGTGTTTTATCCATTTGGGTCGTTGCACTTCAAGGAAAAAATTATTTCAAAAGTTCCTTTGAATAAAAACTAATCAAGAAAGGAAATGTAAACAGAATTGGTGTCAATTGTTGACATGCTCCCCAACAGCTCCTGGGCAAAAAGACAACAGAAAACAAATTAAACATGAACTAACATACAAGAAAACTATACAGGCTTCTGAAGGCAAGCAGAAAACTCCATCAGTTTGCCAAGTCTCAATGAATCCCCAGTTCAAGGAGGCTTTCTGCAGTTACTCCAGACTCATCACCACAGAGGACTGGTTCAAAGAATGCAGGGGGATGTTCAAGAGGGAAAAAAAAAATCTCAGCTGATGTCTTCTACAGACAAGAGCATCTTTCTGGGCACAGAGATACCTGTCATCTCCCTTTGACAGTACTAGCCTTCCCTGAGACTTATCCTGCCAAGGGGAGAGCCAGCATGGGCACAAGTGTACTTTTTTAGGATGGTTGTCCTCACTTGCACAAAAACCACCTGCACAGACTATGTATAGAGTGTGAATAAGTTTAAGAGTACAATCCAGTTCAAATGTCTCAAGTTCCCATGATGTTCCCCAACTGGTGTTTGTTACTGGCCTTCCCTGTGCCAGCAGCTGTACGGACACTGTGGTCGCTGCAGAAGAGTCCCCAGCCTCAGGCAGCAGCCCTGTAACCAAACGGGTTATCACACATTGCCCTTCCTCTTGACCACTCCCTCCTGGGTTCAAACTTTGGCATTTGTATCCTTCCCAGACACACTCACACTTCACACACTGGATTGCATGGATTCCATGGATTGCAGTGTGTTACCTGCTCCATGCTCTGCTGTCCGAGCCATCTGTGCTCTGCAGGCCATTAAACACAATATTTGATAGGTATGTTGGAAAAGAGAAATATCTAATTCCTCCTGAAAAAAAGATCAACACCCATTTCTTTAAGACCTATGCTGATTAAAATCTGTCTGGATCCTGATATATGGCTAATGCTTGAATCAAAAATTCTGGAGGTACTGAACATAATGGAAAAGGCTTTTCATCTTGTGCATCAACACAATTAGCTACCCACCCTGTGGATATAAGTAACGTCTATCTTCTTCTGTAGAATAATATTTGAAAAACATTCTTAAATTGAAGGCTGATTTTCCTCTGAAAATCAAATAGAAGGAGCGCAGACATTCAAAGTGTTATATTTATATATAGGTAAGGCAAGAAAAAAATAAAATTAAGGATCACTGAAAATCCCCACAGAAATAGTCTCTGACCACCTCAGGCCTTAATAATAAATATTATATATAAAATGTATCCTTTATTCTAAAAGAATTTCCTTTATGACTATGAAGAAAATATTTAAAAGTCTTAAAAAGTAACTTGATGATGAAAAAAAATGTTGTATCCTGGTTTTCCTCCATTTGTGAGGATATAATTCCAGGTCTGATAAAAGTCCTTAATACTGACTTTCATAATACAGTGGAAACCAAATTACATTATTTTGTATTGTGATTACATGTACTAAAGAAACTAAGCCCAAAATTAGAATCCTTGTGCACTTTCAAGAAAATAGTTTTTTATTTTGCAGGTATTTTTTTTTCTTCCTAAAATATACAACTTCACAGTCAATGAGTCATAGGATATCCCTTGGGACAAATTAACCCCTTACATGAAGTAAACCCAGCAAAAATGTGTTCATTGAATCAGGCTTCAGAAACATTTCCAAACTTTAAAGACCACGATGGGAAAATAAAGCAACATTCAGTCATATTTATGGAGCCCATTTATTTCTACAAGTTAACACTGCCTACATTTAAACTTTCAAGTAACGTGGCACAATAGGGGTGAATACATGGGATGAAACAGTCAGAGCTGAAAATCACACACCACACACTCTTCGGGTAGTTTTGCTTTGGATCCCATGCACTCAGTATCTGTCAGTGGAGGAAGGGGTTAGGTGCACTCCTGAAGGGTGCCAGATAATTTATTTCTTTCAGAGAGAATTAGAGTTTGTGTACTCTGAAGACGTTCCATGACAACACAGGCCAAACCCTGATAAACAGGGGTGGCAGGAGATGAACTCAAAGACAGAACTCTGACCCAAACGTAAGCACTAATTAAACACATCTACTGTCAACACAAAAACCTGTCTCAAAATGTTTACCTAAAAAAAGTTTCAAATAACACTTTTAAGTTACTGCAAACAGAAAACATTTAAAGAAAAAATTGTTTGCGAAATGTTTTCTGTGTCTTAAATTACTGCTCTTTTACATTACTTGCATTTCTCTACTTCTGTGATATTCCACCACAGAGATACAAAAAAGGAAAACATATATAAATTTAAGACATATTACTGTACACCCTTAAAGCAGAGGATATTCTGGATATATACAACACATATACAATACACAGTCTCCCTTTACTGTAGTGGTCTGGCTACAAGTTGTGCTTTTCTCCCAATTTCGGAAGTTTAATGCTGCTTAGTTCCATAAAAGCTTTCATGAAACATACGATTTGCTGACAGCAGGCAGCTCAAAAAGTAGTGCATTCAATAGTTAAGTATTATATTCTTAACAGAATGATAACAAACCTTAATCTTAAGGTTGAGTAGTCGTTAACAATATAAAACTGAATTTCTAAGCATTAAAAAATTTCTTTATCTACAACTCTCTTTAAAAAAAGGGCAAAACTTCAGCTCATACTTGAGCCAGAGCTCAGCTCAAAAACAGTTCTGAAGGTGAATTTAATTTGATTTTATCAGTTTTGATGGCTTTTCTCTGTTCTGCTGAGATAAAACCCTGAGAAGGCAGGCAGAGCACCTGTTCCTCAGTGTTCCAAAGCCCAGTTAACTGGAGTGTGCTTGAGTGAAAAGCCCACGGATCAGGCGCATATCCTACTCAGATCAACAAATGTGCTGTAGCTTGCCTTATACCTTATTCATAAAAAGGCACTGCATTTATGGCCATGTCTATACCGAGTTCCCACCAGTGACATCTATTTCTGCCTACCAACACTGATATAAAACTCTTAAATTGGGTTTGCCTGACTGATAACTGCAGGATCCTACACTTCCAGATAGGAAATATTCATACAGCAACGGAGATGACATTCAAATGTTTTGACTGTTTTGAAGGTTATTACTCAAGTTGCTGGATTTCCTGTGTACACGTACACAAAGAAACACTGGTAAAACCAGTAATCATCTCCAGACTGGTAAAAACTTAAACACGCATAAATTTACTGTTCCCATGCTAAAATCTTCCTGCCCCACTGGCAGAAATATTAAGTCTCAAAAGATGTTCCTGTCAGCCATAGTATAAGAGCTCTGGAATGAAGAAGTCTTGAACTTGCCACCACAAAGGTGTGGAAACCGCTGTGCTTCATCATCAGTGTGCTGGGGCTTCCAGCAAGACAAGAGAAGTCAAATCAGGCTGCCAAACAGTTTGACAGGAAGAACATATTATCTGAAACTCAGCAGGTTTCTCTCACCCTTTCTCTGGTGACAGCTGGGAACTCCAGGGACAGCAAGCAGGATACATTCTTCACAGAAGACCCCACTACTACTTACACATCACTTAAACCTGTTTTCAGTGACAAGGCAACGAAAATCCTAGCTTGACGAACCTACAGTTTGTTAAAATAGGACTCTGTAACAAAAGAACTATTGAAGAGATGAGTTCCCTCATAACACAAGTTCTTGCTTTCTACATATAAACCAACCACATTAAAAAATATTTTGCAAAAGCATTGTAAAATACAGTTCTGGTAAGTGACTTGCTCGGTTTCCATCTCGACTGTGACTTGTTCCTCCAGTTTGCAGGATGTTGAGAAGGGGGATAAATCTCCCTGCTCTCTTGATTTCAGGTTGAAATGAAACAGCAAGCCAAAAGCTGTACATGAAGATCACGATTTCTGGTCTTCCTCTGATGGGATGACTTCCAGGAGGATTTGCAATGTTCTGGTTACCCTGTCTGCAAAGATAAAAGCAAACACATGGGAAGTTTGGGGATTTTTTGTGGGGGAGATGGGGTAGGCAGAAGCAGACAGGAAACTTAGCTGCTATACAGCCTATTTCCACATACACATATATAATTTAAATTAAAATTTCTTTTCTTTTTAACTATGTTTTCTTTGCCTCTGATCCTAGGCTATGCATATATAATAATAATGGAAAGGTATGGATGTATAATCTTATTCAATAAATGTCTGCAAGCATTTAAAGGCTATCTTGAAACATGACTACTCTGCAAGACAGCTTAGTTTTAACCAATTTGCTATGTTGAAATAAATGTCTGGCAGAGTTCAAACAAGTTAATTTAGCTGTAGCAAAACCTGCCTAAGCAAAAAAAAAAAATAAAAAAAACCCTAAAATTAAATGAAATAATAATTACAAAGCTTCACAGGTCTAAGAATATCACATATCCAAAGAAACTTCATGCTGTCTTTTTGTCACGCTGGACATTTATTTCCTTCTACTGCTTTTGTTGGTTTTCCTTTTAGGGTAATGATTCATAAATGGCACAGTTAATTTACATACAGAATAGTAAAAGAGCATTCTCTTATTATTCCTTTCACTTGTCACTCTTTTTTAGTAACCTATTTTAAACAAGTAGGAATTGTTGTAAAAGAAAGTTCTGATTTTCCTTGTCTGTTCTTGTATGACACAGAAATGTCAACACTGACACCAGCGTAAAGCAAGGAGGGTAAAATTGTGCAACTCACAGAAGATATGAACTGAAACCACTTCTCTGACCTCCTGTCTAAGGCAGACTCCACCATCTTTTGCTCTTTTCTCTGGATGTCACCAGTTCAGTGCAAAGCCAGCTTGCCCTTAGACTATAAACTGATAGTGTCAAAGGGGCTGAGAGTCTCCAGGGACTTCATTTTCCTCCCACCTGCCTTCTCTACCCACAGTGGGCATGTCAGAGCTGGGCTGAGCGCAGCTGGGATGAAAGACAGGAGGAAAGCCAGCAGCAGAAAAACAGCAGGGCTTCGCTCCTGCCATCCCACCTCTTCCAAGTTGGAGGCTGAACAAAGGGATAACCAGAATTTTATGAAGCTGAGCAATGGTGTAACAGCTCTTGGAAAAGGGCATGGCAGCAGAGGGAAAGCCTGGGCAACTCTAGAGTGTGTTGTGATTTTAATATCCTGTTCACCAAAGTGGACAGAGCCACCAGCAGCAAGACATTGCCCACTCCTCCATTTCCATGCAGCAGTTTTGCTCTGTGCTGGGATGAAGCCATAGGGGAGCAGACAAGCTGGCAGTCTTCTTTGCATTTTTTGGTTGTAATGTACTCAGAATAAATCAGTATACAGAGTATTTTCCCCTAAAGAATGTTCCAACCTGTCTCCAGTCAGTATCTCAGAGTACTACCTGGAGTTAAAGGACTAGCTTCACATTTGTCACAATACAATTTAACGTACTGTGATGGTACAGATAACTTCCCCACTCCACTTTAAACCCTAATTTTCCCTTTCAAGAGGAGAATTCACTGAAAATAGGTATCAGGGGACCACCTTCATAAAAAAAACCAGACCTGGTATCTACATAAGCACCATATAAAGTTTGGGTGAGGAAAGAAAGCAGGAGTTTAATGCATGTATGTAAGACTGGACATGAAATCTGTGACAACAAAATGCTAGGATAATTTCCTATGTGTCCCATCACAAACTTGACCAAGAGAAGGAAACTGAGCATATCACAGTTTGTCCTGAGTGAGCAGGTGTGATCCTCTGGTGTTGCTAAATAACCCTGACAGAGACATTTCGTTATATAAAGAGATCTCATTTTCAGCAAGGGCTCAGGCTATGAAAAAAAAGCAGGATTTAACTTTTAAGCTCCCTGTAATTCAATCCACTGAAAAGAAATAGATGTTTTAAATATGAGTCTAAGGTTGGATTTTTGACTGAGGAAGTGTAAATAGAAGCATTCTTGTGCTGATGCCGCATCCTTTTACACACTGATCTGCTTTGTAGTATTTGCTAGGCTTGACTTTTTTCATTTTCACATTAGTTCTGCAAAAAGCAAGAAAGCAGAGGTCAAATGAAGCCTGTACTAGCTGAAAATTATTTGTCCCAGAACATCTGGTGCTACAGCAAAATTTCTTTGGAAAAGGAGAGAACAAAATGTTATTCCAGCTGCAAAATACCGCCCAGAACCTATGGACCCACGAACTGTGAAGTCACCTTTTGTCAAATACAGTAATTTCATATGGAGAATGGACAATGTAAATGCCATTGAGGGCAGTCAAAACATACAGAAGACATTCAACCTTGGAAGAGGATTCCTTGGGTAATCCATGGGGGGCTCTGCTTGTGTAATTGGTCTAAAACCCCTTTCAGAAATGTATGTATCTTCAGGCTGGGTATTTTATCCCACTACTCATTGTGGCCGTTCAACATCCCTCTCCTCTGATCTCTACAAAGCCTATTCAGGACACTGAGCCTGATCTTACGTGAGGCTGGTCTGTATCCATGTGTTTTTGCACCAGTGCTGACCTTTGCTTAAACAACACATGTTCCATATAGGGTTTATGAGGAGCAGTCATCTCTTCCTGCCACAGCACAGCGGGGCAGCTGAACCCGTCAGTTCCTCAACAAGGTGACTTAGCAAATGGGTAAAGCCCTACCCCAGCCTGCCCATGCACTGATCTGGGCAGATGAAGCAGCCTGGGCACAGTCTTGGTAGCACAGTCCTGTGTGCAGACTAACAGGCTCCCACTCCCCCTCTGGTATTACACAAAATGCTTTGTTGAAATCTAAGGAGATTGTATCCCTCACATTCTTCTTCATCTAGAAAAACTAGTTATCTTCTCAAAGAAAGCTACCTAGTTAATCTGGCAAAAAGCTACCTTTTAAACAACAATACCATTCTTTTGTTTTGTCCTTTACCTCATGTCTGGAATTACACTTTCATGCCTATGTACATTTAATGCATATTGTTTCAAGGTTAGAATATCAAGCTTGCAGCTGGCCAATGACTTTTCTGTATCTCACAGAGGTACCTTAAGTGAATTTATCCTCATTCAATGCCTTTAGAAAATGTTCTCAGGCTACACAATGGGGGTCCCTTAACACTCACAAAATAATGCCAGTTTAATGACTCCACACAGAAGGTTTATTGCTTCTTCTGAGGAAAAAGAAAATCTTTTTATTTAACAAGTAAATCTCCTCTCTGCTTCACCCCAAAACTGTCAGAATCAGTTTTCTGCCATTACTGTTCTTATTTTGGGGATAATAATTGCAAAGCAAACAAGCTGTTTCACCCACTGACTGGCTTCTGCTGGTTTGCCCTCTGAGGCAGTACACCGTGCCCATCCATAGGTATGACACAGGCACCAAGCCTCCTTTCTAGGAGGAGAATTTTGTGTTATCTCAAAAGCTAGAAATTATTCACCTTCATTGTCACAGCTGGTAGAAAAATCTTCACATTTATCCAGTCTACCTTAAAGAGAATATTTTTTCTCTTGCCCAAGTAATGTAGTCCAACACTGGCATCCTGTGGCCAAAGATTCAAGTAACTGTATTCCAAAACCTCTGAGACATGACAGAAAACACCAAAAAACTCCTGGGGTTTGGTAAGGGAAAATTTCCCAGTCCCTAAATGTCAAGACTGAGAAATTATTAACAGACTAAACTCCAACTATTTAATTGAATGTCCTTTTGCATACAATTGCTTTAATTTGCACTGGAGGTTTCTACCCATTCCCAGGACGCTGCAAATAATTTATAACTTTATGGATATAAAATTAAGAGTGTGCTAGCCTTAAACTAACATATTTTTCTGTAAATACTTTCTGCCCTATTGTCTATGGACTTCCCAGCATGAATTGAGTGGGAAATACATAGATTCTACAACAGATAGGACATAATTATGTAACATATACAATAGAGAGAAATACATATAACTGGTTATAGTGTAATAACATATATATAAAGACACTATTATTTCCTTGTGAGCAGCTCATTTTAAATCATCACTTAAGACTGCAGCATAGAAAACAATATGCATTTTTGATTCAGCATCTATACAAATAAATTATTTTTAGTTAGAAACTTTCACAGGTTGAGTTATAGTTTTGCAGAAAAAGAGATGTTCTTTTGGTTCTGTTTGACAAAATATCTAGCATTCCTGAAGTATTTTGCCAATAGTCTTGTTTCGTGTTTTGAAAATTCCCTTCATTTTGGAAACCTATCCATCTGAGTAACAAACAAACAAACAAACAAACAAACAAACAAACAAGAAATAGAAAACAGAAGAATGGGCAGCTCTAATAAATGATACTGACTTCTAATTGAAATATTCCAAATAATCCTTCTCTAACACATCAGAACTTCTGCACATGCTTTCAAAAACTTTCAGAAATGTTATACAAATGATTCTCAGTGCGTGAAATAGTACAGACAAATCACAAAAAAGTCATTTGAAGAAGCACAGAAACAATTTCCATAGAAGCATTTCAGGCATGTTATATTTTGCTACCATTTTGCCAGGAGCCACTGCTAAGGACAATATCCCCATAACCAACCTGCCTGAACCTGTCCTATTCCAAATACTCCTCGGTGGTCCACAAACGCGTGGTCTCAGCAGGGAGCACCAAGCCCATCCTATCATCACAACTGTTATGCTCGAGGCTCCAAACTGATGCTCCAAGAAGTGTAGAACTGTCTCTATTAGCACAGAACAACGGTCAGGGGAAGGGGTCGGGTGATTTAAAAGGAATTAGATGTTTGCAGGGGAGGGAGAGAGGAAGAGGACAGTGGGAGAAGCGTCAGTCACTTCAAATCAATCACTGGGGAAGAACAGCCTTGCTGTAAAGTAGCTCATTAGTCAGCAGACATTGACTGCAACTGGCAGAGCAATGCTAGAGCATGTGCTGAAAAGAAACTTGTGTTGTCATCCCCAGCTCGTGGCAGCTGAGAGGATTGACCAGAAGGATTTCACAACACAGGGAGAACCCTGAGAAACTCCTGGAGTAAGTATGGAGAGGAGTCCCACCAGGACTTACCTAGGAGCTTTCTGAACCACTTTGGCTTCTTGTCCCATACAATAAAGAGGTAGTAGGCAGGAATGCCAGTCAGGGTTATTGCAAATCCAATCCCTGTGTTCACTGGGTCAGAGTAAAGTGACAGTGCAACCATGAAGAGACAGGTGAAGGAAAACAATGCTGGAATAAATAGAGGAACCTGAAACATAACCACACGAAGAATCATTAAATAACAGGGTCAATGTAAAGTAATGACTAAGGCATTTAATGTTCCATGAAATGTAAATTGGATAAAGCCCAGCACAACAGGACAGTTCTGCAGAGATATGGGTGTCTAGAACATACACACAAAATGCCAGTGACTGCAGAAGCCCAGCCCTGCAGAGCGCTGTGCAGTGAGTACCACAGAAGTCTCTTAATTACACTCTAAAATACTTCAGTGTTTTACATCCTTTAAAACGCAAGGACTGTAGATAAATTACATTGTAAAAGTCCTTTCTCTAATTCCCCAGTAGATAACTAAGCAGCTCTAACCACAGTAAAGATTTCCACTTTGATAATTACCCATCAGAAAACGTTTTAAAACACAACCAGGAGCTCAAGTCACCTTTTAAAACTATTAAGAACATATTGATTTTCTTCCTAAGGTAAAAATCAAAATCTAGCAGGAAGAGAGCAAATTAAACACCAATTTGACTAGGATAAAGATATTTGATAGTGTTATGCAACTGATAGCCCCTGAAAAAGCCCTTTCTGACTGTATGACTGATAGCATTATCAGCGTCACTGTTGAAAGCACACAAAGTAACAATATCAAATTTATTTACTCAATTTTCAAGAACACCATTACAATCACTCTGTTAGCACCTCTCTGAAGGAACCGCCTACAGGTATGGCTTATGAGTGTAATGCAGAATTGGAGAATTCCTTGGAGATTGTTCTCTTCTTTTCATGCCTCAAAGCATTACTGTTCCTCTTTAGTGCACTGTCAAAGCATTTTTTCTTTTAATCAAAGCAAAACAGGTTGTGTCACTGACCTCCTTATTAATAGATATACCTACAAGAATGCAACAGTGCACATTCTTAGCTCTTCACAAAACAGACTTCTTGGCAGCATCTAAACAGAAATATATTCCTCCATTTTTATGATGATGGACATTATCTTTCTGGGTACACAATGGGACAACTTACTTTGTAAGACAGTACTTGAAATAAGCAAGAAGAATGGCAGAATCAAGGCCAAAACAGCTACAGTTCAATGGGCTGGACTATTTAGTATTTTCTTTCTGGGTTCACAATCACTGTGTCTGCAAATCCACTGCAAGTCTCAAATATTATAATGACAGCACTAACCACTTATTTGCACAGAAAATTGGCGTATTTGATATGGGATAGGCAATGACATAAATGTTTTATATTAATGTTTACGCCTGACATGAATTTCGGTTGCAAAATTATTCAGGCCTTTAGCTGAGGAGCTTGCAGGGAAACACTCGGAGAGCATTCAGTGCAAGACTATTTTCTTTTAACTCTGCTTTTCTTGAAACAGAGGTTAGCTTGCTAGATCAGAAAATGCTCCTTTGCTGTCTGACTGCAGAATGGAGAAGAGGGAGAAGAATTCATGTAAAAGAGTAGAGAGCAGAGGTTACCTTGAAAGGACGAGGCATATCAGGACGTTTATATCTGAGATAAATCAACCCAGCAACTACTAGTCCAATAAAAAGCCACCTGGCAAAACTGAGGAAATTCAGGAGGCTGTAGAGATCCCCGTTGAATAACATTATCATTGTGAGAGGATGCTGAAAAAGAAATAAGAGGGGTTTAGTAGATCAATCTCTATTATTTTACAGCAGTGATGTCAAATTTTTCCACAGGGACAAGCAGCACAGCCTTATGCACACACCTGAGTGCCACAGACTTCAGGCTTGCCTTTGTCATGCAATCGATGTACAGCTGTCCCCTGAGACCACGGTGGATCAATATAGATCTGTCCTGGGTGGCCATACATGGTCAATACAAATGTGTCCCCTGTGACCCAGACAAATATACAGGCACACAGCCCACTGCATCACCCAAATGCTTGAGCATCGTGGGCAGCATTCCCATGGGACCTGACAAGTGCATTAGCCCACTGCAGCTTTATTCGCTCATCACCGATGCAAATAAGAGCAGTTAAATTCTGGTCACGTGTGATCATATGAAAGCAGAGGTTTGTAGGTGTTTTGTGGAAGGAAAAAGGTGACTTTTCGCACATTGTAAATGCAAACATTCCTAAGCAGAAAGAAGCATTTAACTGTCACTCAGGCAGCAACTGAAGAACAAGGAGAGGGACACCAGAATAAATATGTTTTCTCATCAGAAAGCTGTTCTGAGATACAAGTCGTCTGTGAGGTAGGCAAAAGCTTGTGTATAAACGAGTGATGTGTCTTGAGTTAGGTGGTTAGTGCAGCCTACCAGAATCTATTTCAAAGTAATAGCTGGACAAAAAAATGTCCTTGCATTTGAGGATGAAGGAATGAGTCAAATTCCCCATAGCCCTTATTCTTCAGCAATAGGGAAGATCCTGGCGGTGAGAGTATTTAGATTTATAACAAGGCAACAGTTGAAATCAACTGCAGATGCAGTAAAATACTGGGCTAAATCTTTACATAAGGAAAACTAATTTGTATAAATTATCTAGATTCACAGCCTCTCTCTCTTTCCTGTTTTTGAAGAAGTGAAGACAACATGGGTTTGAACCAGAAGAATCAATATTTCAAATGTGGGTCTCTGCCTTCCAACCCCTAATGACTTATAAAGTACTTGGTTCTTTACACACAGACATTAAGCAAACTGCGTCTATGTAAATGTCAAAGGAAATTTTACCGCTGAATTATATTGGGCAAGATTTCTTCTCTATAGACTCAGCCCTAAAAGTTTAAAATATCAGTTATAACTAAAATGCAAGTTTTAATGATAATGTAAGTGAAGGAGAGCTATGAAGAAAAAATAAAATAAAGTAGGTTTACAATCAGATTGCATGATTTCTTGGAGTTGCTACACACACATCTATCTGATATCAGGGCATTGCTGAGGAACACGTCTGGTCCAGGTATCTCGGTTTGCAAGACGCAGGTTGAGATGCAGATTGAAATGTAGATTGAGCTCTCGGTGGAAACCCGAGACAAGAGGCCGTGAATTGGCAATTTTGGGATAACAAAGGGCACGAAGAGAGTTGACGCCCGCCAGGTGACTGAACACTGTGAGACACAGCAGGAGCCGGGAACTGCCGAGCTTTTGCATGACAAAGGAGATGAAGATGGGGGATGCCAGCGAAGTGGATGAACTCGGAGAGGGGGACAGGAGCTGAAGACTCGGAAGGAAGGGAGAGCTGACTGTGAGGGGGTTCCTTTGTTGGAGTCCCTCCTCAGCGGCACTAGGCTGAGCTGTTCCTGTGCTGCTGCGCCGTGAATAGCTTTATGGAATGAGACATCTGAGACTCTAATATGGGAAACCTGCGGTCGAACCGGTGAGGAAACCTGGTCTGACTGAGTGGGCTTCGGTTCCAGCAGTTAAAGTCTCTGGTGTTGAGTGTGACTGCCAGAGAGTCCCGTGAATGGTCAAACTGGGAAATTTCTTTAACATCATCATACATACATTAACAGACTTCTTAATTCCTAAAAATGTGGGGTGTTTTATTTAACAAGCCTCAAACACATGCTCAGTTTACCCTCAAGAGCTCTTTCCTTTCTTACAGTGTGTAGACCTTGGCAGGAGAAACAAAATAGGGAAATGCTAAAACACAGATTATTGATGTAGAATATATCCTACAACTGCTCTATTTGCAATAAGGCAAGATAAAAAATAGCAATCTTTGAAGGAAATCCCTCTTCATACGAGAATTTGACTTTTTCAAAGGAAATCAACGCACTAGTGTAACAGGACCATATACAAAGGCAGAAAATGTCTCTCAGAACAAAAAAAAAATCATATATTAATACATTTGTGCATTTCATTCCATGGAAAATAGTCAAAGTCTTTTACCCAAAAGGTATAACTACTTCACCTAAAGAAATAAAATGTAAACTGAATGCTTATGGAAAATGAATTTAATTAAAACTTTTCACCATAATCACACTGCCTAATTTTCAAAATTTGGAAGCCTATGTATGGGCACATATAAAATTCAGCACTTCAGAAGTGAGTTATAGGCAAAAAATGATTTAAACTCCAGTACAAGCATCTGATCTTACTAGCATAGACTCATACATGCATCTTTTGCTGTGGCTGGAACTTCCTAAAGAGGCAGAGATCTGTCCAGATCCATTACAGTCCACTGAACCCAAACGAGGGGCTGAACATCCATGCTTATGAAAACTGCATGATAAGTGAAAATCTTCCCGGCACTATGCAAACTGAACTTTGAGGTTGGTATTTTGACATTTAGTCCTAACATTTTACCGTACAAATCAGTCTGCAATGCAAACACACGGCCAACATTTACCTCTGCTGCTGTTTTAGAAATCAGTATTAGGATTTCCACTAAAACACCAGTAGTTTTCCTTAGACAATTCACAGACTATTTCCCAGGCACATGTTCTCTCATTTTTTAATCACCACTACACTGCACTGCTGAGGGTTCCCCCTCCATTATCTTAGTGCATAATTGTTTGCATTTTTCACTAGAAGGTAGTATAAAGACCCTTAAGGGTGTTGTTTCCAGATGCTGGTATTTAGCTGCACTTTCAGTTAACTGAAACCCTTTTTGTTTGTTTAACTGGAATTTGTTTCTCTGAAAGGGAACCAGCTCATCCCTAGCAGCTCCTTAGAAATACAGAGCAATAAGGCATGAATTACGTTGCAGGGATAGGCAGTCAAGTGCTCCGACAAGAAAGCAAGGAGGAGATGATAAAATAAGAACAACTCCCAAATCTCATTCCTCTCCTTCCTGTTCTCTGTCCTGCCCAAAAGCCCATGTACACATTAATAAATGAGACTCAAGCAGTGCCCAGATTCTGTTGGAATTCTCCAGAGCAAGTCTGTAATATGAATTCTAGTGCAGGAACATTTGTTTGTATGATTTACCAAAACAATGACAGCTGGCAGAGGAGTGTGCTTGCGGACATGAATCATGGAGAGAATTTCCGGAAGGTGACCCTCGCGGGATGCAACGAAGAACATCCTGGTGGGAAATAAATGTGGACAGACTTTAAATGTGCTCATTACTCTGACTACGCAAAGTGGCTCATGAAAGTCACAGAGCACAGCAGCACTTCTCAGTCTTGTTTGAGGTATTCTGAATGAAAACACTAGCAGGAGAAACCCATATACAGAAATCAAAGTGATCTCTGAATGTGTCCCCTGACTGGCATTTGGAATTAGTTTATATTTTCTCTCCAGTTTCCCTCCTCCACAGGTAAAAAAGTAGCCATTAATTAAGGGGTATCCTCAGAGGGATTAATTTCCAAACCGTTCAAAGGATTTTAACAATAATACACTAAAGTCAACAGGAACAAAGTGAGAAAAAGCCCAGCACCTAGTAAACAATTAAGTAATTTTGCATATCCTGCTGAAGAAATGAACCCTACTCTCCCTTCCCCTTGCTTGCTTTCTTTTGCTGTGTATCCCAAGCCCTCACCCACAGGAATATCAGCAATGCTCACCTGGAGACCGCAAAAATACCACCATTCATAGATCCAAAGCAGGAGAGAGCAACAAACACTGGTACAGCTAAAGAAAAGTTTCCCATTAGCCGTTCGGCAAAGGTCTGTCAGAGGAGAGAGAAACATACAGTGATTTTTCATAAAACAGGAAAGTAACTGTACTATATTAGCAAATTATTATGGTGTTAATTATAGTCCTTTTCTGCACCCCTCACTGAAAGCTGCGCTGTGGCCTCTTCTTTTGTGTCACCAGCTGAGCTCTTCCACCTTTACTGCTGAGGATGTCTGGAAGATCACTAGTCAAAGCAACGCTGAGGAGCTGGAATCAGGCCCTAACTTATGTCTTTTTAGACCATTACGACTCTAAAGAAGAAGACCCAGTCTGAATGGATCAAGGTCTGATTTGCATACCTAATTTTTGTTTTTCTACAGCCTTCATTGTACTTCATACCCAGTGGTATAGTCCATCAATTCATTAGCAGAAGAGACTTAACTGGAGTTTGGGGTACCACAGGAGACATGCACAATTTTCTTCATGTTTACAAAATGTTTTCTTTCTAAGTCTCCCATTAGCTGCAGAATTTGGTCATTTTTCAAAAGCCATGTCAACCGAAATAACCACAGGCAGCGTCACTACTGGAAAGGAAATGGAAATTTTTTATTTCCTCATTGTGACTTAGATACCATAAATATAAAAATTGGTATCATCACCACAATTCAGCAAGAACAACCAAAGCAGTATTACCTAGCCAGGTTGCCTTGCAACTCCTTCCCAAATGAGCTCCTGTATTCACAGCAACCCCCCTCCTAAACACTCAGGACACACGTTGTGCAGAGACAGCGTGACTGTCTTGCTACACACACAAGATAGTTCAGAGCTCCCACTTCCACAAATATCTGTGATTCCTGCTTCCCAGGAGCCGAGCTTACAATTTAGCACTGAATTTTTCAAGCATGTACTCAGCTATAAAATTTAAGTCCTATTGACTTTGTTATAAGAGGTAAATAAATACAGTCCAATATTATGTTTATAAATGTTATTGACGGCCTTAAGTGCAATCCCAGCCATCAGTCAAAAATCAGACTTATTTCACCAGTATGCTAATAAGTGGTGCCATACAAAAACCTCATTGGATGTGTCCACCCAATTTTTTCCCCTGGAAAATAAGAATATATCAACAAACACAACTGCAGCAGGGATACAGCTTTGTATTTTTCTTCTGTAACTTACCACTGCTACAGCTTTTGAAAGCAGCAATTCCCCAGCACTGATTGTAGTGAAATAAGCCACGTTTGTTAACACATAGCCAACTGTGACGATAATCATTGAAATGCATATTGCGAGGGGTATGTTTCTGAAATACACAAGGTAGCTCATTATTTTGCAATCTGGTTGCTAGTCCCTGAACATGAAACAAATGACATGAGAAGAAGCCACTAATGATGGTGAATGCACATTTGGTGATCCCAAAATATCATAATTAGAAACCACCATTAAAAAAAAAATAAACAAAGCTATCTAGACAAAGCAAAGAGGTTTATAATGAAGAGGTGAGAAAACGTTTGAGGGACGAGTGGTTTGGGGACACCGAGAGGCTGTGGTCCCTGTGCTTCCCATACAAGAAGTATGGCCCATTTGAGCTGCCTACTCAGACTGACTTGCAAGCTGAACCCAACGGGAAGGCAGAAGGTGTCACTGGCTGAACCAGCAGTAAGGCTGAGATGACAGATGCAGGTGATCCAGCTCTCTATCAGGAGGGCAATCACAGTGGCATCTCCAACATACCCACTGGCACTCCATGGCCACTGACCACCTGGAGGCGTTTGACATCCTCCCCTGGATGCCAAAGTATCCAGCATCTGAAATTCTGCTCTTTCCTCCTCTGTGCATTTCTTCCCTCACACACCTTACCATATCCTAGTCCTCTCTCTCAGAGTCCTGCTCTCTATGAGAGCAGAATATGACACAGAAATAGAAACAGCACAAATTTCTACTGTTATCACAGCACAAACAGTATTGAATAGCACAAAATCCCTGATAGCTAAAAGACAGAACAACAACAAACAAATAATAATGCCAAAATTTTATATAGCATGTCCTGCAAGTCAAAAAGAACAGAATTATTCCAATTTTAAAAAACAGGAACAGAGGCACGGTGAATTTGTCCAAAGCCACACTGCAGGCATACGTTCGAGTCAGGAGAAAAAAACAGATGCTTCAAGTATTGCTCTAGTCTCTTTCCACTTAATATTATTGATATCTGCATTACACCAAGAAAAGATTCAGATCTGAAACTAATGTTTGATCCTTTAATGCCAAGGTTAAGAGTTGCAGTATGCAAACTCCCTCACTGCTTCACGTCTGATTCCGTCCAGTTGTCTATATTAAGGCTGCTTTTAAAGGGATGTAGAGGTTGCCACATCTAGAAAACTTCGTTGTGAAGGTCACCCCACCAGGTGGAAGAAAGGAGAGACAGAACTAGGAATTCTGATGTTCCAGAAGAGATCACAAGAACAGCCCTAAAGGACTGTTGTAATCACATCAAAGGAAAAGGTGTTCTGAAAACCAACACAAAGATCCATTCTTTTCTGATCTCAAAGAAACACAGCCTGGTCAGAATTTAAGGATCCTCTTTGCTACCAGTCCTTGTTTCTCAAATAAATCCTTTACATCAGTATGCCTGTAAAGAGCTGAAAAGAAGCTCTGAACTGAAACTAAATAAATGCATTTATTTATAAATAAGTAAAGCAGGACAGTATCACTGTTGCACATCTTGCCCACCTTAGAAACCATGGTGTCAAATACTCCCATTAACCCGGACACACAGGTAGGTAAGAGGATCATGCTGTAACATAACACCAAATCTGGGAAGACATCATGATACTGCATTACCCCATGGCTACCTCATGCACACATCCTCAGGTGAAGAAACTGGAAAAAGGGAAGCCAGTCAGCTTGTAGAATGTACTTGCTGATGAAGAAGGAGACAGCAAAGACCAGAGCAAAGAGCCCAGAATGCAGGTGCTGTATTGCTGGAAAACCCACAAAGTTACAGACTCCTGAAATATTGCAGCTCTCTGTGTTGATACTGTGTGCAAAAACGGGTTTTGTGGGTCAGTTGCCAGATATTTTGCAACCAGCAAGGTTAAGCTTCTTACCTGACCTGGGTGTAAATTGAATTCAATCCTCTTAGCATCTGATTCAAGGTAGGGATACATGGATGCAAAGCCTTTCAGAACAGTGATTTTAACTATATCTTCTGCATCACAGATGAATGCTTCAACCACCAAGCTATTGGATAAATCTGCACTTACTCCAACCTTAAAAAGAATGTTTCCAGCCAAAGATAGCAAATTTGGACTATTTTCACTAACACCATTTAAATGACTGTAATCACATTGTTAAATTTAAAAACTATTTTTGTTCATTCTAACTCTTACCAAACATTCTGTATTCATATCTAATTTAAATCACAGTCTTAATTTCTGACAAAACAAAACAGCAGTTCAAAACTAAGGGGAAAAAGAAAATCATGCTTCCAAACATGACCATTTTCTTAGCACTGAAGGTCCTACCTTGTTATGCTGAAGAGCACTAACTCCCTTGGATAGTAATACCAACAATAAAAAACACACTCAGGAGAAGAATAAAACTCCTAAACAAGACAGAACTAGTCAGCAAGCACTATTCATTAAAAAGCCTGCAAATCATAACTCGGTGCCTGGAGCATCACAAGGGATGCTGTGACTTCTAAGCTCCTGAGTCCTTGTTTTTGAGGGAAGTGAGCTCCCAGGCTGCACCTCCTTTTGTCTCCTGGCAGGAGCGAGCCTTCAGAGGGCTGTCGTACGCCCGCACAACCCTTCCAAGTGCTGCTTATTAGCCACTGCTTTCAGTGACAGACTTAAACAAAAATAAAAGGCCAACTTCAAGATTTCAGGGATGAGCAACACGGTACGGTTCATTTCTCACTGACACCTCCACCTGTATTTGCAGTTGGACCTTGAGTCACCTGAGAGCACAGACAGACAGGCACAAACCATATGTAAAACCACTAAGTGAGAGCTTTAATCGTATCTTTTCTATCCATCCAATTTAAGAGGCAGTTCCCAATTTGCAACAGGATCCCATTATTAGATTCTCTGCAGTTCCCAATTTGCAAAAGGATCCCATTATCAGACTCTCTGCAATGAACTGCAGTCACTGCGCTGGAATAAAAACCATAATGCCATTACCAATAAAGATTACCTCCTTTCCTTGGAGGATCACTGTACCAATTCTTTTGGAATATTTTAGATATTCTCCAAGACATCCAAATCTTCTCTGTAAATAAGAAAAACCATACCAAAGTTCTGTTCTCCATTAAATTGCCTCTATTAATGCAGGTTTCACCTTTTCACTTCTACATCCTGTGAATCACACACAACACAGGGTGTCAGAACACTGATAAGGCATGTTTCCGATATAATGCAAATTCACAACTGCCTCACAGCTGAGAGATTTGCACTAGAGGGAGACAAAAAATTCAAGAAAAACACATTTTCCACTTTAAGACTGTTTTAAGATTTTGATTCATCGAAGTTAAAGCTTCTGATGAGGAACTTGAACATATCAGTGAGATATTTCTTAGGGAAAAAATCTTAGAACAAAACAGAAACCTTATACAACTGATAGACCTCAGAATGGTCAATGGCTTAAAAACCATTGCACTGTGTGTGCTCAGATACAGGAGACTGCAATACCTCATTTACTTAAAACATGTCCAGGACTTGAACTTGCATTGAAGTGGCTACTGGCTACTATAGGGTAGTGCTTTCCTTCTGCACTCATCTGAGAGTTAAATCTCAATAGATTTCAAAATCAAGAACAATTCTTTTCAAAACAGCTGTTTGTCTGAATAGACCTTGAGGTGCTGATCATAGAATCATCATAGAATCATAGAATCATAGAACAGTTGAGGTGGAACAGACCTTAAAAATCATCTAGTTCTAATCCCCCTGTCATGGACAAGGACACTTTTCACTAGACCAGGTTGCTCAGGGTCCCATCCAGCCTGGCCTTAATACTAGATCCAAACTTATACAATTATTTGGAAATGTCTTGAGCATTACTGTCAAGATAATATTCAAGCACACTGCTCCTTGGTTAGAAGGGGAAGCTGCTGCCAGGAAAGTCTTTTTGCAATATTCATCTCTTCTCCCAAAGCTTTGAGAAAAACCAGTACCAAAATGAATCTGAGGAAACCTGAATCAGGCAAATATTGACAATATAGTTAAAAAGTCTTTAAAAAGCAGATAAGAGACAATTAGGATAATTTCCATGCATCTGAACGTTGACTAAAATTGAATTGAATCTCTACACCTTTTAAGACTTAGTAGCTATTCCTAGCTACTATTCAAAGCTAAATCTTCCCCTTTTGCCCTATATACAGAGCAACTGTAATGAAGAATTGCAACAGCTTGAACAAAGAGCACATCTACCTTATGATTCCCAGAAAAAGAGTCACCAAGGAGCCTACCATCACAGAGAAATTCAGCAGTGGGAATATAGCTAGCCCATCCTGTGCTATATAGGGCTGAAATGCATTGCCAAGCAATGCTGTATATGGCTTGGAAGCAAATTTCCTTCCTCTAGACCCTGTAAAGGGCCCAAGAGCTAAGGAATACGGTTCAGTTAATCAGGATAACCACTGGGGTTTGGATTTAACCTTCAGCGTTGCAGAATCGTAGATCTTCCGATAATCAGTTCTAGAAGGTCTCTACCTCCCACAAATATTTTTGAAAGAAAAACACAAAGCAGAGCAAGTAAGAGAAGGGGAAAAGTGAAAAAAAGATAAAAGGAAAAAGAGAAAGAAAGTCAGAGCAAGAACCCAGGGATAAGAGCAACAATGTCAATAAATCAGTTGAACATTCCCAGAAATCTACAGCATATATCCCAGTTTAATGACAACTTTTATAACAACAGTGAGCACTAAGAGCTGTGATCACTGAGGGCTGTTCTTTCTATAAAATAACAAGCATGCAGTCAAATACACCCCACCAAGCCAGCTGAGTTCACAAGGATGAAACCCATTGTTGCCACATCCTTTGTTGTTTAGAGGCCATTCCAAAAACTTCTCCTTGCATCCATTTCAAAGCCAGGTTTTTACAGATGCTCACTCCCAGTAAACTGTCCTGGACAAAGCTACACTGGTGGGACGCAGCCCGGAAACATAAATAAGAAGGTCTAAATAAAGCATTTAATTACTGATAAAGTTTGATTGAACTACATCTTTACTGTACCAGGGAAATAGTGGAAGACACTTTCTGTTACATACAAATTTAAAAAAAAAATAGTAAAAAAGGAGAGAGGAGAAGT